CGCCGACATATTATATTTTGGTTACTACTAACCTATAGTACTGGTTCAGTACTTAAACAGCCTATTTGCCCAGTATTTATAAGTGAATCAAAACAATTTTACTGGAAGCAAGTGTTCACACTACAAGTAATGAGTACATAAAGAAACGTTCAAACAAAAATATGGTGGATTTCCAGAATGCATTAGTCTTAACTCTGCTCTATTCATGTCAATAGGAAAAAAAATCCACAGTATATCTTATTTTAACCCTCTCTGCTCCCAAAGTTAAATCTGAACCAGTGTTCTTTCCTGAGACACCTTATATACATCTAAATCTAGCTACTATAGTTAACATACAGGTTCCAGTCTTTGCCTCTTACATAGAAAGAGATTACATTGGTTTTGATGGAAACACTACTGCTAGCATTTTTTCTTTGTATTCCTGAAACACTGAAGTACTTTTTTGTACTGTTTAATTTTATTTACTTTTGCATTATTTATGAGTTTGATGTTGAAACCGCTTGTTAGATCACACTGTCTAGTAGTAGATCACTGAATAGAAACAGGTCACCTTACCTCTGGAAAACTTGCATTTTTGGTACAGTGCCGCACTAGCTACCATATACACATTTACTTTAGAACTGAATGCACACAGACAAAGGCAAGGAAATTAAATTCTCCTAGTTACTGAGATGATCCTGAATATTAATTTTGTCTAAAATATTAGAACAGGTTCGACAAAAGAATTACCTATAGGCATTATTTAGCTTTTTTGATGTAAACAGAAATATGTGACAGCACCCTTGGAAAGCAACAAATGTGAAATTCCATTTATTTATAATCAAATCAATTGCTTACCACTTTGTGTGATTTGACATTTGTATTTCATTCACTGAAAACAAAAAATACTTCCCATCTAAAGCTGAGCAAGTCGTATTAAAAAAAAATTGTATACATACTGATTTAAGAAGAAAATAACAGTACAGGTTTCTGTCAAAACCCCTACATTTTCTTCTCATACAACTTGTTACTGTAACAAAATAGAGAAAAGATTTTTATGTCAATTTTTCTTAACCTTTCTAGCCCCTTGAATCAAAAGGAAATCAAGCCAACTGACACAAGATAAAAGTTCCCAGGGCTATTCTGGTGCTTAGTAAAATATTCCACTATACAAAGGAAGAAGTTTAAAAATATCAGTAGCTCCTCGCTTCCAAGGCAGTCTTAGGTTAGCCACAGAAAATAAGATGCTCTGGGAATTTCTGCAGAATTTAGTCATCACTAAGAAGTGTTTCTGAACTTTTCTATTAAAGCAATTCAAAAGAACACACACAGAACAGAGTTGCAAAATGGTCTTTAACAGTCTGCCTGCAGATACTAGAATTCATAGATTTTACAGAGCAACAACAAAATGAAAGCAAGTCTCCAACTAGTTTTATAACTGTCATTCAAGATCCTATAGGCGACCACCTGTCAAATTTCAGACTGACATGGCAATTAAGAGCTGTAAGAAACAGATATTTGCAGGTCCCATTAATTCAAAGATGGTGAAGTAGGCATGCAGTGTAAAGATAGGCTTCCGAAACTCAGAGCTCGCTATGCAAGAGCAAATAAAAGCATAAACATACAATGGAACATGTTTGTTGGTGTGACTAAGCCACCAAACCCTTTTAATCATAGTTTATGCTAACACCACTTTTTATTCAGCAAAACTGTAACTACGTTCAACCTTTTGCCAACTCAGCATTGACAAAGAGTTATGACACCATCTCTGATATTACTATACTCACAAAAATTTACAGGCATGAACACTTAGCCTAGAAAAACTCCTCCCCTTTTATATGGTGAGGAACACAGACAGGAAACTGGCAGGAACAAGAGTACAGAGGAGACCTTTTTCTGACTTCTAAGCACAAAATTTTAAGATTTTGGGAATACTGGCCACAAAGCTGGAATCCCAAATAAGGATTCAGTCTCATCCTCTCTGCTGAAATAATAACATCTTCTTATCTGTTCACTAACTGATTCTGTATCATGTCTGCACGTGGGGGCTCAGACCTCTAGCTGAGCACTCGAGGAATTTTTCAAACAGGCATAAACTTAATGAACAAGAGCTCCAAACAAGGGTTTATTCATTTTCAAAAATGAGGTAAACCAGTATTTACTCCTTTACATAGAAGTTTTTACTTTAACATAAATCATATTCCTAAGCTATTCCAGAATGAATAGTTTTATTTGAAAAAATAAAAGGTGTGCTATTTCAAAACTGCAAATTGTGCAGAAGAAATTAATTCCAGGTCATACAGTTCCTCTACAACTATTTTTCTTCCTCATCTTGGATCTGTTTCTACTTGCAACATTCTTCTGGCTTATTAAAGGTTTATAATTGAGACAGAGATAAAAATGCCTGTTACAAAGAGCAACAATTATTAACTGCTGTGAAAATAAACTGGCTTGTGTGTAACTTATGGAAAGCAACAGATGGGCAAGCAAGGGATGCTGAAACTACGACCGTGAGAGGTTTTGTTGCCCACTTTGCTTCTCCACCCCTAAGAATATAATCAACAGAAACTGCAAGCATTTCTCAAGTAATACCTAACTGTACAGAGGAATTTGTCCTGGGAAAAAAGAAAGAGATTAAATAATTATAAACTGCAGGGCATAGTTTAAAAATTTAAGCCAAAATCTTGGAGTTCTAAACTTGGTTTTCGCACAATCTTACATTAATGAAGACCCTCGACATTCATTATGCTCCTTGATACCATTTTGGTTGCCAGTGCTGCTCAATCCCTTCCCCATTTGCCCAGAAGTTCTTGTAAGAGGTAAAATCAGCTAGCAGGCAAAATGAGCTAAGAAGTGGACTTCAAGCACAGATGGAAAAGTAAATTAAAGTGAGAGATGAAACATTGATTCAGTAGGTTCTCTTGATAGTACAAAAAACCTCTGCTTCAGAAATACCTAGCAGTACCCGTCATCCATTGCTTCATTTGCTTAGAATTGCAATGACAAACAATACCAGTATTTGCTTAAAAGACAGACATTTCCTGTGGACCAAGTAAACCACTAACAGGTAAGGAAAAGAGAAACCCGAGAGCCAA